GCCCGCCGTGCCTCGGCTGGGACCCACCCGCAGCGGAGGCTGAGCCCGCTGGCGGCTCCCTGGAGCTCGCCCACCTCCCGGCACCAGAGCGCTGGCAAAAGGGGAAGAGTCCTCTCTTTGGTCACCACTCTTTCTCGTCCACTCCAAGAATCTGTTCAAGGAAAAGCTGTAGGAAGAAGACATCTTCTTGAATCCTCTGTCAGGGGCGGGGTCTGCCTGAGCTGCTGTGCCACCTCAGCGACACTACCTCCTGCTACGACCCCTGACCAGCGGGGTCAAGTCCCGGAGACGGGATCATGAAGCGCTCGGTGGCCGCTTGGCTCTTGGTCGGGCTCAGCCTCGGTGTCCCCCAGTTCTGCAAAGGTGAGGCAGCGGGGTCCGGGGCCGCTGGGCACGGGACAGGCGGGGAGTCCCTTGGGAGACGCTGTTCAGAGGGCTGGAGGTGGTTTCCCCTACGCGCTGAGGGTGGTGAGCGCCGCAGGCGACGCACCTTGGGTACCCCCCCAAAAAGTGCTCCGAAGTCAAGAGCGGAGTACGCGGGGCCGACTGGGGAAGAGGGTGCGTGATACCAGGATGAGATCGAGAGAAAAACCAGGGCGCAGGGAAGGTGGGAGGGAAACCAGATTTTCTGCAGCTCACTTGGCCACCGGGTCTTCCCAAGAACGCTACCTGGGCAGTGTGGGCAATGCCGGCTACTGGCGCCAGGCGGGGCTTTCGCTGTGGAGCAAGGGAAGCGAGCATACCCCGGGTGTCGGTGGAGTAGTTGAAACCACGAAGAGGCTGAAGAGCGGAAAAGCTGTCACCCCCCGGGGTGCAGTGCTACAGTGCTGGCAGGGCTGAGCAGTTGGCAAATCTGAACCTGGGCTGGGGGTTTTAGTCAGGGATGCGATGGAGACCGTTCTCAAGCGTCAGTTCGGCTTTCTCCCGTCTCCCCGTACTGGACGCACAGTACAGCATCAATATTAGAAAAAAAAAAAACAAGAACCTGCCTCTCTTCTAACCCAGGGGCCTAGAGCTTTGCTAAGTGCTCCCTGTGGTAGAAGCGTAACTCCTGTTACTAGAGAATCGTACATTGCAAGACATCCCTGGTGCCCCTGCCTCAGAGCGAAAAAGTTGTAAGAGCTGGTCTGGTGGTGCTTCCCATGACTTGCATGAAATAAACCAGTCTGTTAAAAAAAAAAGAAAGAAAGAAAAGAAATGTAGGACTTCAGTGAGTCCCCTGCTGAGTTGTATAGTCGACTTCCAGGTCTTTTGCGGAAGATGACTTGTCAGTACAAGCCTGGGTTGGCCCCGTCTCTGTTTAGGTCAGTGTTGAAGTTGTCTCCTGGAAAGGGCAGGGGGAGCGGCAGAGACTCTGGGGAGGCCGCTCCAGCAGACCTGCGCCCTTTCAGCGGCCGCATATCCAGGCAGCCTCTTCTAAGGGGTACGAGTATTTAAAAAAAAAAAAAAAAAAACCTTCGCAGACTGCTTCAAGTGGAGAGCTGAGTGCACTACAGGGTTTAAAATGCTGTGCCTCTGAAGGAGTGGAGTTGGATTTAAAAATGCATTGACTCAGATCCATTTGGGACTACGCACTGCATGAATATTCTACACCATCCATCCATGTACCCAACCATCTATTTGTTTCACAGGAAAATTATGAACTCTTGGGCTACCGTTTGCCCAAGAAGCCGGGTGTTCCTGGCCATCTGCCCTCGCTGCCCTGCCGGTAGCGGTCCGTGGCCGCGCCTTTCCTCAGTCTCCCTCCCTCTCTCCCCCAGAATGTGACTATTTTCCCCAGCATGTAGGTGTGTGTGTAGGTGTGTGCCTTGCTTGCGTTTGCAAAGTGCCCTTCCAGTTAGAAGGCGGAGGCAGCCACTCCACTGAAGGTTAAGGAATGGTAATGGCTCTGTAGTTGCGCTGCCCGTCTCCCAGCGATAGGAAGAAGACACTGCTCTCACTCTCTGTATTTCTCCTTTCTCTCATTTCCTGTCTGGATTCCTTCTGCGCTTTGATCCCTTAGCAGGAAGGGAAGGGGAGAACTGCAGGCACTCCCCTCTACTCCTCCCTTGCCCGCCTCGGTTCCCACCCCAAACACGAAAACACACACCCACTCACCCACTCACCCTCTCTCACGCACCTACTCCATGCCTCCACTGCCACCATCAGTCCCGGCTTGGAGGTAGAGGGCGGGGGAGGGGAGTGTGGAGGAGGAGAAAGTGCGTCTAGCGTGTGTGTGGTTGCAGGAACCCTGGGACGCGGTGAGTCCCGGCTCCCTGCATCTTGACGCTCTGCCTCCTGAAGATACCCACGCATAGGGCACAGCTTACTCTGCCAGACAAGCCAACCTTGGTGTTATTGTTGGGCTGTCCATTCTGGCTCCTAGGCAATGTTCGGGCGCAGAGTACCCCACATTTTTCAGTAGATTACTCCCTAGTTTCCAGCTAGCCTGTGGGGAGAGGGATAGAGGACTTTAGGCAAGAAATGGGCCATTTTTCTATGAGCTCTTTTTGTTAAACTTGCACCTTTTAAATTTATTCACCCTCAGCTCTGCGGAAAAGCAGAATGCAGCTTGCACGACAGCTCCAAACAATTAAACTTTGAGCAAACTTATTGAAGCCAGTATTAGGATGAGAATTTACCTCGCAGTGCCTCCCTCCTCCCCAGACATCATTTATCTAGTGTATGCTTTTTAGAAATTGGTATTTTCCTGTACGGGTTGCAGTATACATTCATTAATGCCTGGGATTTGATAAGGACATGTAATTCCTTTCATTAGTCGTTTTTATTTTAAAATTAAACCAATGGATCAGTCAGACTGAATATTTTATTAACTCTTAAATTATTCATCATTATGGGTTGCTCTAAAAAATCCAATAACATGCATACAATTGCAGCAAGCACGTGACATCTTATGCAATCTGTCCCTGTGCCTGCAGTTTGTGCCTGAAGTCTTTAAGCAAATGGCAATGTCTAAAAATGTCTAGATATGTCCTAAATACTATGAATCATTGGTATTTGCACTTCCTTTTTTAATCAATGGTGATTTTTAGTTAATTCTAGGTGGGAATCAATTAGTACCTGAACAGTCTCACTCATGATAATAAGACCATGCTTTTATCATTAGTATAGCAATATTTATGTTGAAATATAACGGGCGTTTGTACTTCTAAAAATTTATTACACATTAGTGTCTTTATTACCTGATTTACAGGATCATTAATTTTATACCTTAAAAATAAGTTCAACTTCAGATTTCAGGTGAAACATTGAAAAATAATTTTAAAATATTGAATTAAAAATAATAAACTGGAGGCAAAGTGTCCCGCTCTAATAGTTTGAAACTAATGCAAAACCCTGGCCATGCCACGCACTGTCATGATACAAAACGCATTTTTTCCCCCTGTGTTCCTGAAAAAGTTTTCCTAATTAGTCTTGAAATGTTTTCTTAGAATTGGAATCCAGTTTGTTTTAAATTTATATAGTTTGGGGAAAACATTTATAATGTAAATTAATGGATATGAAAATTAAAATGGTCTATTCTCCCTTTTTTTTGATCTTGAATTTTTAAAGATCTTCAAAACCAGACAAATTTATTTTACTTCTGAACTCTTCTCTAAATTAAAACTCTACTGTATTTTTCTCAGATATCTTAAGATCAATGTTCATATCAAACATGTATGCAGGATCTAGTGTATTTAATATTTTAATGAAGTTTATTCTTATTGCTAGATGTACAGAAATTTTCCTTCTCACAAAATGATAGGAATATAAACTAAAGGGATAAAATACATATGACTAAAATAAAAAAGCTTGATTACTCAGAACCATTATAAAATAAGTTTGATAGTTTTTAGACTCTAACAGTCCATACTCTTAATTTCACTGATATTAAGATGAAAATTTTAATTAGGTAATTTATTTTTAAAACTTTTCCTCTTTTGAAGGGTTTTAAATAATGAAATAGACTGTGTATGTTATCATTTGTGTACACTTTTAAGAACCTGCCTGATTTGAGAGTTTTGTAAAGGCTAAGTAATTCTGATATCTGTTGCTTACTAAACACGCTCGCAAGGCACAGTAGCTTTGAGTATGTCTTATGATGATGTAGTTTCATTATATCCTTGCCAAAAAGACACCCACAAAAAACCATGTGGGTTTCAGAACTCAGTTCAAATCAGAGTAAAGCAGAATGAGTAGGTACCAAGAAATAACTAACAAATTTTGCAAATATGTAATTAATGGTATGGCTTCTCTCATAACTAGTCAATTTACTCTTCTGAGTTATATGAATTTGAGCTTATTTCCTAGTAGTTTGCACACTGACGTGATTATGGGGAAAAAAATCATGGAAAACCAAAGCCAAGCCACTCCTATTACTCAGTTCTTATCTGTGTTTTAAGGAAGATGCTTAGTGTATTTTGCTTTTGTTTTTAAAATTATAACCCATGAAATGATTATAATATCTTTTGGTTAATTGAAGCAAACACTTAAATATTAAGAGTCAAGTGGTTGACCACATGAAGTGGATTCTTAAAAATTTTCTTATGGTTGTGTGATAATGCTACAAATGAAGTACCATAAATACTTAAACTGAATGAAGTACCACTTAATTATTACTGAAAATGCCTCTAAAAAGTCTTTGACTTGGGGAAATTGTTGGAAGGAAAAATAGACTGGAATCAACTATGCCCTTGCCAGCAGGTGTCAGGATAATAAATGGAGATCTTTTAAAGGGAAGATGGGGAGTGGGGGAGCGGTGGGAATAAATTAGTAAATGCTAATCTGCAAATCCACATAAAGTGACTTTTTACTCTATGTGAAACATGTATCTAGTTAAGCTTTCAGTGCTCCCCAGAGAAAAAAGGGGATGGGTCGTTGCAAGGACCTACTGCGTGTACCATAGGATTTTAACTTGGTTGCAGAATGCAAGTGCATATCTAGGTTGAACCGCTATTTTTCAGAGATCTCCTGAAAACCTTCCAAGGAAATGCACAGAGAGCTCTGTGGTGCTTGTACTAAAACAATTATTACTGAAACGTTTGGCATACTTTTAAGCTTACTCTCCATAACAACTGTAAGTTTTATAAATAGAAGTTCTGTTACATTGACTTCCATGGATGTATATTCAGCTATGTATTTGTACATATCTGTATTACTGATAAGAGACAACCTTGCTTATCCTTTGCTATCACAATGGTAAGGTGTATGTATCCTTGGAAGTTTCTATGTAACATAAATCATGTGGCAAAAAAGACTAAATGACATGATAAAGTTCTGTCATTACTCATTTCGGCCAGTTACTAATCCTTATATATGTGCCTGTTGTGTTTCAATAGTTGTCAGTGACTTGACATCATTTATTTGTTTCTAATTGATCCTTA